GAGATTAATTTAAAAGGATTAATAGTACTACTCATACCAACAAGATGCATTTTAAGGGAGTTTATAAGCTAAGAACTCCAAAGTTAAGCGTGCTTGCACGGGAGTAATCTTGGGATGGGTGACCCCCTGGGAAGTTTCTTAGGGCGCGCACGAGTGAGGACAAAGTGTGCGGATGGGTTTATTCACTTTATTATTATTATTTTATTACTATTACTATTACTACTAATTCCGTTTCATTTTATGTGATCTACTTTGGTTTGACACAATTTTTTATAAAGTGATTGAAGGAATATTTATGGTTAAGATTTGAGTATGATAAAGTGAAATGTAATAGACCACATATATTACGTATCTTTCTAAAAAATAATGTGACACTTATTTTGAGAAAATTAAAAAAAAAAGTAAAACATGTAAAACGGAATGGAGAGAGTATTATTATCATCACCATCATCATCATCATCATCATCACTACTACTACTATTTTTATTATTTTTACTATTCATATTATTACTTTATATTAACATTTCGAGCCTGTTTGGTAATATACAAATCGACTGTGTTGACTGATTTTGCTGAAATTTTGTTATGTTGGAACTTGGGATTGAAGTGGTTGAATTGTTGACTGTGCTGATGTATGAAAAAAATATTGAAAATAAATTTTATTAATTGAATAAAGAAAAAATTATATGAAAAATAGCTTAAACTATCTTTTACAGTAACTCCAGCCAATACACTCGGAAAAGTAACTCAAACCTCATTTATTCTTATTATTACACAATTTAACGTGTGAAATCAAAATTACGTATTTGGTGAAAAAGTTGGTTGATGAGTCTGATAAGCCGAAAAACATGGTCGGCTCTTAATTGTTTTTGGCAAGAATTGTTTTGATAAATATTTAGGTTCTGAATTACAAATGAATTTCTTGAAATTTATGTTATTTTATTATATCATCTATTGTAATTAAATTTATTAGGATATCACTGTATGAATTTGTTTGTATATCGAACAAGAAGGTGTGAGCTTTAATCACACACCAAATGTGCAACGGCCTAAAATTGGAGGAGTCCTCACTTGGAATTAGAGTTGATTAAGAACATAAATTCATCCCATAAGCATTTTCAGGATATATTTAATTGGAAAATATTCACGTCAATCGAAGAAAGAGTAAATAAAACTATCAATAAAGGTGGATTACTCCCAAATTTTAAACTCAAGAGTTACGAATTGTATATGTGTGAAAATATTGAATTGTGTGGCAGATGATAAACAAATCAATCACAAAAAAGTGTTTCAAAACATAATTTTCACTCATTTTGAGTTCTACACTATCTTTTTTCAGTTTTTTGTATAATACTTCCTTCGTCCCGCAAAGAAGTTCCCGCTTTCCTTTTTTAGCAGTCCCAAAAAGAAGTTCTCCTTTCCGTAAATGGCAAGTTATCTACATCAAAACAGTGCAAAACAGTGTTGAAACTGTGTCAAAACAGTAAAATTTACCCTCTGATAAGTTTATTTCCTTAATATGTGTGTAGGACCAACCGGGAACTTCTTTGCGGGACGGGGGAGTAACTTTTTATTACAGGTATATATTAATTCTATACTTTTTTATTCATTTTACTAATATATTATAAATTTTAATAATAATTTAACTTTTAATAATTTCTTTCAAATAAATTATTATTTAATTTATGTTCCGTGCATCGCACGGGTGAGAATCTAGTTTTATATGAATTGGGGTGAGTCGGCCTAGAAATCTTTCAAGGTTTGTCTGTATGAGTTTTTTCATGGCTCAAACGAGAGAAGATGGATTATTTCACTCTATTTTAAAGGGTTGTTATTTGTTTTGTTTAAAATAAAGGAAAGTTTCTAAACAACATCTTTATTGATCTTTAAGATAAAAGGTGTATTTAGTTGCCCTATTTCTTCAAGAAGTGGGTAATAAAAATACAATACTCAAATTAGTTTAACCACTTTCTTTATTTGGGATAGAGAATAATGAATAAAATGAATTGATAAATGTAATGACTTTACTTCATGTGGTTTTTACAAAAAAAAAACTATATTGAAATTAAGTCAAATAATTAAATTTGATTAGAATTTCACATGCACTATCGATCGAATAAAAAACTAAAAAAAGTTTTAACGTGAAAAATGAGAACGACTAAATACATTGGATATGAGATCTAACATCTCTAAAAAGGCTAATGGTACATCAAATTAGGTCCAAAGTGTAGTGGTAATATCATGATTTTATGAACTTTTTTTTTATCTCCCTGTAAAAGTGCAACCTGCAAAGACTAAAGGTCATGTAGATAATTAAAAGTTACATTTTCATATTAATTCCACGTTAAAAACAATCTTTTATTAGAATCATAACACTTATTATAAACTTGCTTCAAAGTCAATTTGAGATGGTAATCTATATTGCTCAGAGCATCACCAATGCACTAGTCTCTAGTCTCAATAAATTGTGCCAAGTGTCAAATAAATGAAAGGCTAGAGTCTAAGGGGTGTTTGGAACTGATCCTGCTTCTGCTTCTTTTTTAAAAGCAAAAGTAGAATCAAAATAAGTTTTCAGAAGCTGGTACCCCCAGTTTCTAAAAAACTGATTCTGAGAGTAAATTAGAGCACTAGAAGTTCTTCTGGAATTTCACCCAAACACTCCAGCTTCTGCTTCTGCTCCCTAAAGGAGCAGAATCAGGTCCAAACACCCCCTAATACACATACTTGAAAGTGTATTGTCTAGATATTAAACTACCAAAGAACCTCCAATGCACAAATATCACGGACTAATTTGGTGTCTACATGGAATTTAGTTTAAATAAATTATAGAAATGGTAAATTATAATTCTCCTCATCACTGCATCCTAACCGCACATAACTACTGAAGATTACAATTAAAATCAAGCAATTACAACTAGTACAACCAAATTAAAATCAAATCTCACTAAATAAACATACACTCTTGATCGACATTCTGTAGCCAGAAAAGAAGGTAAAACTAAATTATTAAAGTAATAATTCAGGATTGCAATCACATATGAAATAAAAACGACGGATTACAGAGTACTCCGTTTTAAATTTATTAATGTTGTTTCATTATCAAGAAATTTAAATCTGACAAATCACATAGCCTAGTAGGACTTCTTCTATTGCATGATATGGAACTAAAATCTATGGGACATAGAATAGAGGTGATTTGTTCATCTATTGCGTGGTTTCCGAAGAGCGTCCCTTGTTTATCTGACTCTGCATGTGTACGAGCCTTTCTATAATCGCACTTCTATCTTGACTGCGTGCAGTTTTTTATTTGCCAGGTCAGCAAACCGTTCTTATGGACTACCAACGTTGGACACCAAAATAATTAGTCCAAATCTAATTTAATGATACGGCAACTCTTATCTAGTCTAGACTAGATAGACATCACCTATTGGGGATGCTCTTAACGTAAAGTAATTTTTGCATTTTATTATCTTAACATTAACACAATTTTCTATACATTCACACTTCCACTTTCATACTATTTATCCAATATAAATTTATAATATACACACACGCTACTTCAATTGCATTGAAGATAATAATTTTAAGATAATCTTATATCGAGAATCTAGTTAGATCAATGAATATGGTGATGTTTGGATCTAATTCATAAAACTGTTTCTGCTCCTTCAGGGAGCAGAAGCAGAAACTGAAATGTTTGGGTGAAAGTGCCGAAATGATTCTGGTGCTCTAATTTACTCCTAGAATAAGTTTTTTAGAAGTTGGGGGACCAACTTCTAAAAACTGATTAGAGCATCTGTTTTAAAACTGATTCTGCTTCTGTTTTAAAAAAGAAGCAGAAGCAGAATCAGTTCCAAACACCCCCTAATCTCTATATACTCTTGGATGTATATTGTGTTCTGATATTTTTTACTCGATTTTTAGCTAAATTTTATTCCCAACTATCATCAAACAATCACAAATTTATTCCACACTTTCACTTTTAATAAAATAGACTACTTCAACTTTCTTCGGCGGACCTCCGAGATGCAACGAGCGAGAGAGAATCAGGGGTAAGGATGGCAATGGGGGCGGGGCCCCGTGGGGAACCGCCCTGTGGGGGGGAGTTGGGGTGGGTGGTGGGATGGGGTGGGGGAATTATTTCCTCCCCGCTTAAATATGGGGCGGGTGATGGGTTATGCACCCCCCGCACCGTCCCTGCCCCGTCCCCCGTATATATTTACACATATTAACAATTAATAATAATAATCACAATAATAATACTAATAATAATAGTAATACTGATACGAAGTAATTCAAATAGCATGGTGGCCTGGTAGGTTTAGTGGTTTCCTATCAAATGGATTGTGCCTAATGGGTCTATCTATGCTTAATAACTCAACTATCTTGTAAAATTGCTTATCAAAATCATAAACTAAAATAAATTTTTTTTAGGGATCAAGTAAAATGAATTTGGAAAAGTTACAAAGTGATATTAGCTTAAACGCCTCACGCAAAGTTTGAATGTTTTCTTCTTTTATTATTACAGTGCGTTAATTCTTTTCTTATGAATGTCATCTTTATGATTGTAGTTAGAGTTCTTAAAATATGGTGATCATAGGTCGTCCTAGATGCTGTCAAATGACCATAATTGATTGAATGCAGAGTTTAAGAAAATATTATAGAGCTAATCAATGCTAATAAAGAGTTTGATAAAATGACTAAATTAAAACGTGTATAATGTGTTCTAGATTTGAAATGGGATGTAAGATTACATTGACACTTAAAAATTATTATTTTTGACTACTATAAGTTTTGTTTAATTTTTGAAAAATTGTCAGGGTCTAAAATGATTTTAATTTTTAACGAATATTTCCCCGTTGGGTACCCGTGGGTCTAGCGGGTCGGGGCGGGGATGGGGCAGGTCGAATAGTAATGGACTAATGGGGGATGGGGCGGGGTGGGGGCGATTTTTTAAACACGGGGCGGGGCATGGGGAGTGAACACCCGTCCCAACACCCGTCCCAATATTCAGGGGCACAGCTTGAGTTTTGACTTTCCAAAAATTGATATGCACCCTTGAGTTTTGACTTTCCGGTTTTGGGTCGTAAAACAACACCCTCGCCGGTCGCGTCTGCAACTCCAGCCGGCCGCCTATCCAGGCGCCAGTCGCAGCCTTGCAGAGCCGCCGCGACGCCTCTGGTCTCCCTAGGAATTTTTTTCGATCAGGGCATCAGGCATCTCCGACGCAATCACGCAGCACTGGGCAGCAGGTTTAAATTATTTTGCAACTTTGCAAGTTTATTAATTAATTACTCGATTGCTTCAAATCTTCAATTGCTTTTAAAGTTAATTGATTAATTGTTTGAATTGGTATAAAGTTGAAATTGATTGTGAGCAATTTTTTTTATTAATTAGTTTAATTGCTCTAGTTGCTTCAAATTTTAATTGACTGTAACTATTTTTTTTACCAGATTGATTATACGTAGTAACTATTTAAGAATTTGAAGTTGAAACTTTTTCAACTTGTTAGTTTACCAAGGTGATCATGTCTATTTTGCAATTTGTAATACTTTTAGCCACCCCTTTATTTTTGTTTGGTTCCGCAGCCGGATGAATTTAGCAAAACTTAAGAAGAAAATCATATTAATATTTCATATTTTTTCATTTCTTTCTAGTTTTAAGTCTACAAACTTGTATTGCTAATATCTTATTGGTGTTGATAAAAATGTGTAATTTTGAAACAACAAAACAGAAAAGCATAATTGTTGAAAAAGTTCAAGTTTGATTTTTTTTTGATAAAAGTCAAAGAATAGGATAGATTTGTGAATTTGATGATACTTTGAGATAAAATAAGCTAATAATCCTAACAAAAATTGTTAATATTATGTGTCTACAATTTGGTGTCTTTTGAAATGTAAGAACTTAAAACATCAAACTTCCTAAATGAAACCTGCAGCCTAGAGGGGGAGTTTTTTTGTTTGAACAGATTTTTTCCTTTGTCAAACTTTCTTCCTAACTCGCAGATTCCAGAGTTTAACTTCATATATAAGCACCTATCTCTTTCTCCCGTTGTCTGAGATATGTATGTGCCTTCCTCTCGTTGTATGTTCACAGTTCACCTTTCTTGTAAAGCATATTAATTTAGGGTCCATTTGGTAATATTTCCATAAAGAAGCACATCGTTCATCCTGATGTGATTCTTTGGGAACTTGTATCTCTTTAAACTGGTGGATTTTTTTCTTATTGAATTTGTGTTTTCTGTACCTTTGAGTTGATGCTCTGTTAGTGTGGAGCACACTTGAACAATTAGCTACATTTGTTTAGTGTGTCCAAGTGACTTGCTGTAGGTTTGACCATCCAGACTTCAACTTAGTTAAAATATCCACACTTGAACGATTAGCTAATAGATACATTGTTTATTGTTTCAAAGTGAGGTGCTGTAGGTTTGACCCTCCAGACCCCTCAACATAGCTAAAACATCCACAATCTCTTAGGATGATTAACAGATACTGCCTGAAACTCATCGGAGTTAGCAACTGCTGGTTTCTCAAAAAACAAATGTTGAGTTTGTTGTGTTTTAGTGGACCCACCTTCAACTTCAGGTCCTACATTTCAAGTACTAAAGATGTTTCAAACATTAGTTGAAAATGAACAGCTTAAGCTTTGAAGGAACATACTATATTAGTTTACATTATATCTAGGCAAGTATGATAGCATATTATACTGGACCACAAGATTGTTATCTAAACTATTAAGCTACAATTGCACATTGCACACCGTCACGATGCATATGTATTCTGCATAGTATTGAATTTTGATATGTTGGGCTCCTAAGATGTGCAATCCTGGGTTGTATGGGCGCATAGAAATTCTTACAGTTCTTTTTTACTCTTATCTTTATTTAAAAACATTCCAATACTACAACAACAACAACAACAACAACAACAACATCCAAGCCTTAGTCCCAAAAGATATTGGGGTCGGCTAACATGAATTGATACATGATAACACCACCAAAAGGAAAAGAATGAAAATAAAGATAAAAAAATAAGCTATTATAAAAAAGATAATATAAAACGGGATGAATATACTTAAAAATGATAAAATAAAAAGGATAAAAATAATGTTTATATATATAAGGATAAAAGAATAAAAAACAAGAAGAAAAAAGATGAGACAAGAAAAAAGATTCCAATATTCCATAATAAATTTGGGACTTTTTTCTTTTATGATTCCCAATATTACAATGTTTTTATGATTGTTCTTGGCCTTCTTGGGGTATTTTGATTTGAATATTCCGTCGCAAACAGACCAGACGAATGTTTTTGCCATAGAATGGCCCCATAAGGTTTCACGCAGAACATGTCAACTAATTATTTTCATGTTATGTGATCATGTTCTATTTTTCGAGTTTTCAAGAAATTGAAGTTGCTCAAACTTTACCAATTTCTTCATCCTCTCTACCCCATGCTTCCTGCACTGCACAACTTTGTTGCCCAAGAATGCTTGTTACTGAATTTAGTTATTTTTTGTTAATTTTTTCAAACAACAAGAATGAAGTTAGGACTCTGTTGGTAAGAGTTATTTGACTGAATTGACTAAATGTGCTCAAGTTTTCATAGAAATAATGACAAATATGTGACTAAAATGAAAGTAATGGACATAAATATGACTTTTAATATGGTCATACAGTGAGCATATTAGTATATTCACAGTGACTACAGTCACTATGTAATCACGTTTTTCCATTACTTCTATTTTTAATACTAGTGGAAAAACTCCTTTTAATATTAAGAAAAGTGTATTGTAACATATATTCCAGCCAGCTAAAACAGTCAAAGGCTGCTTATCTGGCTGAATATAAACAAAAGGAACAATTTTTCTGTGGGTTGATTTTTATCATGTTTTCGTTATTTGAAGCTTCATTATTTAGCATGACAAAGACGATGGTGGTGGACCATGGGAATAATGAGTCCGAGGACAGAAAAAGTGTTTCTTTTGCGCGTACCTCAACCAGCTCCAGCTCTTCATGGACCAGTCCATCTTGTTTCCCCCAGCAACTGGAAATTGACAGTGGAAATGAATCAGTATCAGAAGCAGGAGATATTGGGGACAGGGCACTTAGCAGCAATAGGTACAGTCATAGTGGTAGGCTGTTTTTTTCAGTTGAGAATGCAGCAGAAAGTGGTCTAGTTGTACCTATTGCAGAGGAAGGGGTGTGGTCCCACACTGTCTCTCCTTTACCAGCTGATGCGATCATAAAATCTGGAGATGGAACAAAGGTGAATCCCCCGATGTATTGTCTATTTTAAAATATGGTCCTTTGGTTGCTAATTGAATTAATTTGTATGCAGAATTCCAATGAAGAGGTGCCATGGTGGTTGGAATATATTTCAAGCCTATTGTTTCTGGCTGTTTTCGGAATATTAGGGGTAAAATGCTCACACAATTCACCTTGTAGATAGGTTGACTCAGAACCATGTTTATTTACTGTTGCATTTTCCGTCCCCTTAATGTATCTATTATTCTTCACTGATTGGAGAAGAACTTGTTTTAGTACCTTACCAAAGATGCAAGATGAAAGAATTATGCTATGAATGACTTCAATGTCTTCCAGGCATGAGAATGAAGAACATATTCTTGACAACTTTACAATTTAAATACCTATATGCATGTAATCCAGAACTTCAATATTTGCCACTGACATTTTTTGCATCAATTTATTTATTGGCTCAAATCTATCCTAAAAGTGTGATCTAACCAAGTTAACAATCTTCATACTCATTATAAGACATACTGTAGAGACCTAACACTCTATATACACTTTATTTAATGTGAAATTGTTAATACATTCTTCATTATTATGTCTTGTAATGAGTATTGAGTAATTTTTTGGTAAAAAGGAAAAAAAGGAGTTATTATGGTTTGGCTGGATCATTCTTTCTGGCCAAATTTGACATTTACAGTATATACTAATTTTAGACAATTATTTGACAAAAACAAATTTCAGGCCACTGATCAACATAGTTGGGAGATTAAGGTGATGGTGGTGTCTATAGTATGCATTTTGTCACTTCGCTGGTTTTCTGTGTCATTTATTCTGGAAGTCATCCTTTCTGTTCATATTATCTGCAGGTATTGCTGAGGTATGCTCTTGAGCTATTGTTTGGGCCAGGAAATGTGGGCGCTACGAGTGATCAAAGCTATATGTATCTTGATCTTCCTCCTAATATGGTATCACCTTCTTACTATTGGCACATTCCAATGATTGAAACGGCTGATAAGTGATAAGCCATGTTATTCTTTTGCTACTGATTCCTCTCAATTAGTGACCACTTGAGCAGTCTTCATGAACGAGATGAAGTTTCTGGAGCACGCACACAGCTTGACTTAAAGAAGAGAAGTTGTCCTGTGACTAGACGAATGAAACACATATTTAGCTATTTAGCTTGTCCGTAAATGAATCTTTGGTGGGAGAGCTGGAAAAAAGGACCCTGCATCAACACATTGTCTAATAATTACTGCTTAAATATGTCATATGGAGTATGCTGTAAAAAAGTACAAATATATACCTGGGGTGGCATATTATGCCCTACTCTCTCTATATATATTATTCCATACTATCAATAAAAGATGTATCTAGGAACTGTATACTCCGTATAATGGTACCATTGTCCGTTTGGGGAAATGGAATCAAGTATAAACCTTCATTAACTGGACCTGCATATATTCTAGTTTTATTATTAATTGGAGTCATGGTCCAACAGATCGAATGATAGATTGACAATGTTTTACGCATTCATGGATTATATTAGTTCTTGCACCTTCCGTTTTGATTTATTCTTCTCATTTAATTGTTTGACATTCACAGGTTGGTTCATTTTTAATGGGGTGGTTTGGAGTGGTTTTCAAAGCAGAAATTTCCAAAATTTCGGAGCAGCTGGCTATTGGATTATCAACTGGCTTTCTAGGAAGCCTTACTACGTTTAGTGGTTGGAACCAAAAGATGCTTGATCTTAGTGTCGAAGGTCGATGGGGTTTTGCAATGCTTGGCATTCTTATTGGTATATGCTACATCTGCTTCTTTATTCTTCTTTTACCTTCTTTATTCTTCCTTTATTGTGATTAAATTTAATGAGCTTAACTGGGTCAGTGACACAATCGCACAACCATTAACGTTTGTTTACTTATGACGTAATGAGATATTCGACTTATTCATTCAGCCAACGGTTAACCTAATCATTCAATCTTGATATAATTGACCTTTTCCATTCAGTTATATATTCAGCCAATTTAGTTTTTGTTTTAGAAACCACGATGAAACAGATGTTTGTTTATAAGTGAGATTACTTATTGGCTAGACAACCCAAAGATAACCTTAAATTGGTTATTTTACTGTTCAGGCTGTTTATTCAGCACACAACATAAACAGATTCTTACAAAGACCACTTACTCTAGAGTAGAGACATATGTATCTTATTGATTAAAAGAAGTAAACCGCCCCTAAGATAACATTGACAATAATCGTCATTAGAGTTTGATGGAATTTGTCATTCTGGTAGGATTGTTTCTCGTTGCCTACTCCATCATTTTTGGTATTGAGACTGCAAAAGGTGTTCGACTTGTTTTGAAAAGAGCAAATATAAATCCAAGCTCCTGGAAGGTGAATAGTCTCAAACGGCATTTGGCAGTCTCAGTAACATTGCTACTTACTCTGGCTACTCTATGGAGTGTGTGTATAGCCAAGGAAATAAAGGTATTTAAAAAGGGAAACAGCGAATCCCGACTGTGGTTGGGATGCCTTGTTGGACCATTTGGTGTTTGGATCAGGTGGTTCTTAGCACGGTTGAATGGCCGTGGTTTTGGAAAATCGGGATTGTTGAAATGGGTACCGTTTGGCACCTTAATTGCCAATGTCTCTGCAGCCTGTGTCATGGCCTCACTAGCAGCCTTGAAGAAAGCTGTAAGTTTTTTTCCAAGCTCCGCATTATTGATATGTATTGCCCCCCTTCCCCCCTTTTGTTGCGCATAGGTCTTCAGACCAATTTGGTGGCCCAAATAAAATTGCTGATAATTTGGGCCTGTTTGGTAAAATTATTCATCTAGTAACTTATTCTGCTTATTTTCTTATCACCAGACAGGAGTAAGTAGCATTTGACTTACTTATCAAGCGCTTTTAATTCCAGAAAATTCAGCCATTGAGCAAATAAAATTTCACCAGACGAGCTCGTAATGATTCATAACAAAATATAATCACGTTTGGAATGACATGAAATCACTGATTCACAGAAATCATTCAAAAACCCCATGGTATGTGAAAGTGCATGAAATGCTTTTACTTGCCTCTTTTAATATCTGATATCAAAAACCCAACTTTGTGAGGATAAAGTTTTGGGTGAGTTAGCCACTTAGGGCCTAATTTGATAGCCCCCCCACTCCCCAATTTCAGGATATGATAAACCTAGGTTCTGGGTTTATCGAATCCAATCACAGGCAGCACAACCTATTAAAATCCAAACAAGACCTAGCGTTTTCATTTGGATTACACCAAGTCGTGGTATTCTCCATTAACTCATGAATTGTTACGGGTTTGAGTACACCAGGTGAAAACAAAGGACTGTGATACGGTGGTTGCTGGCGTTCAGTTCGGCCTGCTGGGTTGCCTTAGTACAGTGTCTACCTTTGCTGCTGAATTTCATGCCATGAGAGAGAGCAAACAACCTTGGAGAGCATATGCATATGCTTTTACTACAATTATCTCATCTTTCATCCTAGGGACTCTATTATATTCTGTACCAGTGTGGGTGAAGGGTTATTACTGATTCACCAAGTTTGTATAGAATGATCAAGTAAAGCTCAACTTTGAAATAATCATATCAATGTTATTTAAAATAAGTGAATAAAAAAGAAATAAGAGAAAAGTTCAGTACAAGGTCACCGAGGACACAGGCTCAAAATGATTTTATTACAAGATTTGATTAATAGAAATGCAATTAAAAATCCAGATACTTCATTACTGAGGAAGCTTGTTTAGCTTACAATAAGCAAAATCCTTGTACTTTTTGGTCTTGTATTTTGCTGGATTCTTCTCGTCAATCAGCTTGGGAATAGGACCAACTTCAAATTCAGGTGGTGGCTCCAGGAAAACCGGCCAAGACATTCTTGCCTTTTCCTTGTTCACTGTCGTCCTGTGCAACACACTTTTGTATTTTCCATTGCTGAGGATCTGTCACAAACCAAATGGTAAATATTCAAGAATGACCAAACTATATTTCTATTAGTTTCAATGTAAAAAAAATATGTCTACTTTCAATATTTCCAAAAAAAGAGACTAAATCATTTCCAGCTCTTTATCTGTCTCTTTTTTCGCTCCCACCGCCCATGTAAGTATCAGAACATCGAATCATTTTGAGACATAGTTTGGGTTAAATAATTCATACTCCGTACGTTGTATGTAGGTGGAATAAATGTTATTTTAAATGAGTCATAGAAAATTATTGCTTTGATACATATCTTATATAGTGTGTATATAAACTTCACGTAGCTAAGGAATGAAATAAGATGATATTTTTGAAATTTGGGAATATAATATCATTATGAATCAAGTTGCATTCACTTCAAGTTTAAATGTTGGTGATTCTTCAGAAACTATAACTATTGACTCGTAATGACTATCAGAGTCATAATATATCAAGTCCATGATATTTCAATGCTCTAACTTTCAAGTTTTTAGAGGGGTCAGCAGACCACCCTAACCCCCCTTGGCTCCGCCCCTGCCACCACCTCCCTAGCTACTAATGCTGATCCTATCTTTCCAAACTTTTCCGCAAGAGAGCAGAAAAAGCACAGGCCCGTGTGTTAGTAACATGCTAGAAGTCACATGTTTAGTCACTTTTTGCAGGAGTAATATTTAAACAGTAGTCATTATTGTATTTGTAATATTAGAGGGAAGACTTCAATATTCATAACTGCCTATAAATGAGGAAAATCTAAAATCAGCCTTTGGCTTCAGTATGGTGAGGACTTGCAACCCCAATGTTGGATTGCTTTGAAAGGTTCTAATAGAATCGATGTGAGTTGTTAAATGTAATCCAGTGGTAAATTGTCTGCCCTTCCAGACAAGCTCTCATGAACTCGAAGGAGACCGCTGGGATTATTTGTCATGTGCTTATATCATAAAAACATTTTATAAATCAAGTGAATTTTGCAAAAAAAAAAAAAAAAATCAAGTGAATTTTGCAAATTCAAGTGAATTTTGCAATGGGATTACATTCATGCCAAGTGAATTTACTATGATTGTTAAAATTGTTGCTATTTTTATTATTGTTGTTCTTATTGTTGATGCTTCACCCCCCACGACTCCTACGATCATCTTCGTTTGAAACCATTTCCTCACATCATGGGGTTGCAATGGTGCATTGTCTTATACACTCACACTATTAAGTGAGAAAGATTGTGATCTAACATCTAAAAGTGGAATACCCATAACTTTAATAGATACATAAGCATTTTGTCCCTCAATCAATAAATGTGTGTGAATAAGATAAATACAACTGAAGTAGAGTACATACCTCAATTTGGTCACCAATGTGGATGATAAGGGCATTTGGGATATACTTAACATTGTACCAATGTTCATCTTTGAAGACTTGGAGACCTTGGACTTCATTTGGTACAAGAATGGTGATGGCTGACATGTCGGTGTGGGCCACCACTCCGAGCGCCAAGTCTGGTCGAGGGCAGGGTGGATAATAGTTGATTTTCAATAGGTATTCTAAGTCTTCACCTCCTACAGCCTCCTTCAGCACATGGCCTTCCAGGCCCAGGCTAATTGATAAGCTTCTCAACAACTCATTTCCCACCTTTTCTAGTCTCTTGGCGTATTCCTCATTTGCTTCCCTGCATATTCGATAACTCTGTTTCAGTTTTTACCGGTTCACCCCTCTTTGTAAGTAACCTTTAATTTGATTTTCATGTTTTATGAATGCCATGTTTTGATCATAAACTTTTTTATTATGTTCGAGTAAAATATAAAGGTAGTAGTTTCTCTGTCCTAGAATAAGGTTCCCAAACGACTTTTGAGGCCAATTTAACTCTTAGAATAGTGTAAACAGAGTAATATATATATATATATATAAATATATAATATCTAATAAATAAACATATAAACATATGATTCATAACTAGTTAAATAAGGCATGCATACATGCATTAAATAATCTAAAGGCTTCAATTTTTTGGATACTGAACATATAACTTGAGTTATACATGAAAAAAAGTAAGACTAATTGTTAAACGGAGTAAGTATTTACATTTTCTTTCAAAATTATGAGTGAGCGCCACATTTTGGATTTTATTTAGATGTTCCAAGTTTCGATTTTGATCAATTTTAAACCGGTTGAAGAATTAAATACAAAATAAATTCAAACATTGCTTGGTTTGATACGGTACAGTTTAATTTGACTTGATCAAACAGATGCTCCTAATGTTTGATAAATAAATTTTTTATTTAGTTTTTTAATATCAAATAAAAAAAATGAATGCCGCTCTCGGTACCTTTTACAGTTTTACATCATTTATTGATTTCATATTTCAAAATCTAATTGACCATCTAATTTACTCACCGTAACTATTTTAAACTAATTTTTAAAAAATACAATAAAAATAAGAGAATAATAACAATGTAATAAAGTAAAATTTTGTATTAGTTATTTACTCAGCAACAACAATCATGTTTTATTTTCAAAAGAGTTTAAGATCAGCTAATTAGCATTAATAGACATATGAAATTGAAGTTCAAAATGATAAATAGAGAAAAGGGAGATAGTTATTTTCCCTACTCCGTATTATACTGTAACTAAATAATCTTTTTTCTTTTTGAAAAGAACTAAGTCATCTAAAACAATATTCAAATAAATGAGATAGTAACACAACAAGTGCATTATTATTAGTTAGCAACTAACTACTTATTGCCGAACGACTCTATGCAATCTATAATTAAGATTTTTCACATATTTCCACAATTTCAGACATAATTAAGTGTTTGAGAACAGCGTAACCCTAAAAAAGATTATTGACATCTGTTTTATTTTATAGAAAAAACAAACCACACAATTCCATTCATATAGGAGTTATCTAAAGTAGTTGGGAGGAATGGGTGACGGTAAGTGTAATAGTCATGATGATGGTGCGGCTTCAATTAATTTGTGTGTAGGGAAGAACAAGTTGTCTTTATGACTGTGTTAGTCCGACAAAACGTTTTAAGTTTGATTTAAATGTAGAATAATAAAATAAATATTGTACAATTGAAATTTGTAGTGAATTGAAAGGTCTAAAAAGAGGAGTTTGGCCAAATAAAATGAGACTTTGCTCATGTCTATTTTGTGCGTCATATAAAAAAATCCTTTACTTTGCACAATTCATAAATTTTTCTTCACAAAATGTTATGTTTTGGAGCATAAAATCAAAATAGTTTTAGAATCAGATACAAAGTCCAATATCATCTAAAAAGTTTGGATAAAAACCTTATTGGTGATGAGTGAGAATGAAAGGCATTTGGATGAAAGGGATGGAGAAAGACAAGTACCTATAGGAAGAAGGGGTTTTAGGCCAGAATTTGTAGTTAACAGCTGAAGGTGGCAAAACCTTGTGAAACAAGTGGTCAACCCAGCCTCTCTTCCCCTCCATGTCCTTCTGCAGAGACGTCCCGTACCCCTCGATCCCGCCGTCCTTCGCCACCGCCTCCTTCGCCTCCTGCGGCAGCTCGAAGAACTCCTTCCCCACCCTCTGCAGCTCCCTGATCACCTCGTCCGATATCCCGTGGTTCACCACCTGGAATATCCCCCACTCCCGGCTCGCCTCCCCGATCTTCTCCGCCGCCTCCTCGCTCATGTCGATCACCGGCACTTCAAGATCAACCCCCTCCACCGTCGTCACCGCCGGCTGCTCCTCCACCGACCGGATGTACTCCGCCGGAATCGTGCCCATCAGTTTTGAGAGGCCATTCGCCACCGCTTGCACCCTCTCCACCTCCATTATTAATTGTACGTTTTTGGGTTGAGCCAAGCTAGCCAGCTGCGCTCTTCTTGAGGATTTATTGTGATTATAGTCAACCGAATTATATTTCCATTCATTTATATATATACAGACTACAGAGTGTGGGAGTTTGTTAGAATGAGTGGGTGAAATTGCGTAGCCTTATGTGGTTCACTCAATAGCACACCTACTCTTTTTTGGCAACCGTTGCATCCACGGCTCTAAACACAACTTATCATACCTCATATACTCAGACATATTAGAATATCTACTTACATGTAAATAAAGCAAACCTTCTAATTAAAATTGAATTGTACTCCCTCCGTTCTTTTTTATAGTCCTTCTTTCCTTTTTGAGACGTTTTTTTTATCTGTCCTCCTTTCCATTTAAGGAATGTTTTTACTTTATACCCCAACTTTTATTACCAGATTACAGGCCAAGCAAAAACATCCTTATTGGCACTAGACCGGGCAATTTAATCTACTTATTTACTTACTTAATTCACCAAACCCCATATGATTTATAAATTCGGCGTATTAGCCCCCTGTGATTTAAAAAATGCGTCAAAGCCCCCTGTGTTATAATTATTTATGCGTAAAACCCCCTCCAAGAACAAATTTAATTGCCAATTAAATTGAAAATAATTAGTATTTTTGTACTCCGTATAATTTAGGGATCTTGACAAATTTACTTGCATATTTATTCATAATATTAAGATAAGTGATTTAAAAATTGTTAAATTTATTCTTGAAGGGGGTTCTGCGGATGAATAAACATAACATAGGGGGTTTGACGCATTTTTTAAATCATAGGGGACTAATGTGCCGATTTTCTAAATCACAGAGGGGTTTGGTGCATTAA